TAAGAACTTGGGGCTTAGGGCTTTTATGTTTAGGGTTTAGGGCTACTTCAAGGTTCATGGGTAGTGATAAGTAGGGCTCTAAGTACCCTAAGATAGGTTACAGCCCAAGATATGAGAGTTACCTTACTTATATCCCCGCTTCTGAGTACCCAAGGGCTTCGGGAGCCTTAGGCACGGGTTTTTTTCTCGGGTTTGTAGGGAGCCACAACCCACAACCCTATCGTCCTAGAACCCTAACACCCCGATGACCCGAGTAACCCTAAACCCCCAAACCGATGTTAAAACCCTGAAGCCCCTAAACCCCAAACACTGAAACCCTAGTAACCCTAGCAACCCTAGCAACCCTAGTAACCCTAGCAACCCTAGTAACCCTAGCAACCCTAGTAACCCTAGCAACCCTAGTAACCCTAGCAACCCTAGTGACCCTAGTAACCCTAGTAACCCTAGTAACCCTAGTAACCCTAAACACTGAAACTCTAGTAACCCCTGAACAGATGGGTCTTCTATGGATCTCAGGGTCTGGCCCAGGCTCAGCGGAAACTGCGGCAGTGGCCTTGGGCGAAGGAAAGACTTGAGGGTTTTAGGGTTTGGGGTTTAGGGTTGTTTAGGGTTTAGGGTTGAGGGTTGAGGGTTGAGGGTTTAGGATTTAAGGTTTTAGGGCTTAGGGAGTTTAGGTTTTAGGGTTTAGGGTTTTAGGGTTTAGGGTTTTAGGGTTTAAGGGTTTGAGGGTTTAAGGGTTTGAGGGTTTAAGGGCTTGAGGGTTTAAGGTTTTCAAGGTTTGAGGGTTTAAGGGTTGAAGGACTTAGGGCTACATGGACCACATGGGTAGCCTACTTCTAATCCTACTTGTAGCTGCCCTTGAACCTCCAATTGGAGATTTGGGGGGGGGGGGGGGGGTGCGCAATACAGACGCCATATATATATATATAGAATGCTTTTGGGGTAGTTGATAAGTCTGAATAGCATTCTCAATATTGGAGATTACTTCATTAGTATCCCCGATTAGGCCCTAAACAAGTCCGGAGGGTTTGTTCCTACTCCGGTTGCCGAGGCTGGGATTCGAATCATCTGGCATTTCGTGTTGGAGGATGCCCGACCTTAAACCCCAAAGGGCTTTTGGTTTAGGGTTTAGGGTTTAGGGTTTAGGGTTAGGGGCTTAGAAAATTGGACTAGATGTTTTGCCTTTGCAGGGTGAAGAACTTGGGTTACCCAGGCTAGGACAAGGACGCAACCACCACAAACGGCTCGGGGTTCAGGGTTCAAGGTTCAGGTCTCGATCTTGATCTTGTGGTCGACGCAGAGGGGAGGGATCCCTAAACCCCTTACCCCAAGCCTTCGGTCTTGCTAGATGCACTTCACAAGGGCACGCCTACAACCTAGATCGTCCCAAGCCCGAAGGCGTAGGCCACAATCCCGAAGGCATGCAACCGCTGCACAGGAGTATCCAATATGGGTTAGTGGGTGCATGGGCCTCTTTGTGGGCATGGGTCTGTTGGGACAGATTTCATGCGGCCGGACTATATATAAAGTTGCCCCGAACTATTTATAAAACTGGCCGAACTATTTATACATCGTCCGGAACCGCTCGGAACCGTTCTGGACTGTTTGTAACCGCGCTGCGAGACACCATTGCCGACCATCGCTCAAATCAAAGCCGCAACAATAGCCCCACACTGGTTATAAGTCGCCCGGAACCGCTCGGAACCGTTCCGAACTATTTATAAACGTCGGGTTCATATATAGTCCAGAACGGTTCCGAGCGGTGCCGGACTATCTGGAACGATTTCGAATCATCTGCTGGAAAATTTATATATAGTTCTGAGAACTTTTATATATAGATCGAGGAATATTATATACAGTTCCTGCAACAGGCGGGATGCCCAACAGGTAAAGAGGCCCACGCACCTACTAAAATATGGGTGTTTACGAAAATAGGGGACCCCCAAAATAGATCCCTTATAATCAGGACGCCAATTAGCTACCCCCCCCCCCCCCCCCCCAATTTTCGGAAACACCCATATTCCTGCCTCGCCCCTACACCGCGGAGACGCAAGCCTTGAACCCTCAACCGCGAGCTTTACTTCATCAGTTCTTCCCACTCCTCAACCCCCACCCTAAGGCGGGCACAGCCGCATTGTGCATATGCGACGCCGCCCCCGGGCCCCCCTGATGGGAGGGCGCATTTTAGGGTTCAGGGTTCGGGGGTTGGGGCCTTCAGGGTTTCAGGATCAGTTTCAGTGTAGAGTTGAAGGGGTATCCACGTTCAGCTCTGCTGAGCAGTCGATTGTCAGCCTGCGAAGGCCCAGCAACTCGAAACCTAAAGGGGTAAAGAACCTCAAAACTCTTGAACCTGACCATTTCAGCCCCTAGAACCAAAACCAACACCGTAACCCGCAACCTTGCCAGCACGAACCATCCTACCCCCCCCCCCCCCTTCTGAATATCAAAGAATATTCCATTCCAATGTATGACGTGTGCTTGGGAGATTGAATTGAGGTGATAGGGGAGGGGGGGGGGGGAGTATGAGGGGGGGGGGGAGGGGGAGTATGAGGGGGGAGAGGATCAAGCTTCGGGGGAATTTCACCTTCAGGAGCCGGGAAGCATGTCGAGCTGTGGGGGTTGAAGGTGGGGGTTTAGAGTTTAGGGTTTAGAGGTATGGTTTAGGGTTTAGGGTTTAGGGTTTAGGGTTTAGGGTTTAGGGTTTAGGGTTTAGGGTTTAGGGTTTAGGGTTTAGGGTTTAAGGTTTAGGGTTTAGGGTTTAGGGTTTTAGGGTTTAGGGTTTAGGGTTTGGGGTTTGGGGTTTGGGGTTTGGGGTTTGGGGTTTAGGGTTTAGGATGAAGGCTTAAGAGACAATAACAAGTCTTGAAGTCCAAACTTGGGATTAACATGGGGAGAGCCCAGCTCGCATTGGGGTTAAAGATACGAGACTCGGGTCTTAAGGCTTAATATCTTACTTTGGCTTTTGAGTTTGCCATCAAGTGGGGTGGAAACTGACAGGATATGCAAGAATCAGTCGTTCTGGAGAGATTTGGGGGCCGTTCTGGCCTGTGTTTGTCGAAACCTGTTCGGGCTTTCGGATGGCGAGGGTTTTCCTTCGCGGCGCCGGACGATTGAAAGCCGGAGAAGAAACCATCCTCAACCGTCCGCTCAGTGTCGGTGGGGTGACCGGGGCCCTTGTGTTCCGAGTACGACACTCCACGGTAAGGGAACCCAGGACGGCCCGTAAACCCTCTGAACAAATCCTACATATGGTCCTCTGAAACCCAACAAGGGAACATGTAAAATGTCCCAATAATTAAAGACAACTTCTTAAACTATGTCGTAAGGGCCTACCTAGGAACTGAAGCATGCCAACTATGTAGACGTGGATGATGATCGCGCACAACCACGACGAGCCTGGGCGCTTTCGTCTGGCGCCGTGGCGACCCAAGCGAACTCAGCGGTCAGCTAGCTGTCAGCTTACATTCTAAGGGCCCTTAAAGGGGACCCCTTTGTATACCCCCTATATACCCCATAAACCCAAGGGCCCATACTTCAGAACCCTTCAAAAAGGGTACCCCTTGGAGACATTCGGGTTTGTGCCTGCTAGTTCTCATCTCGCTGGAATTCTGCAAGGTTAGCCCTAAACCCTAAACCCTCAACCCTAAAGCCTAAACCCTAAACCCTAAACCCACTCCATGTGGCTCAGGTCCAAGCCCAGGTTCTCGAACAAAAAAAGAGACCCGTACCCCTCCTCAATAGACTCCTCATGTGGCCCGTATATTACTCTAGAGGAATCTTTTCAAAGGCCCTAGACCCTAAACCCTAAACCCTAAACCCCCAAAACCAAGAGTACCACTTTAGGTGGGAGCTTGGTTCAATTGCCCACTCTCATGGGTAGTTATAAGTGGGGGTCTAGGTAGGGGAACTATATTATAGCTAGGTATAACCTTACTTGGGTTACTTCTAACCTTATTTATATCTACCCACGAACCTAATCCACATTCTATCCACGAAAAAGACCACGCAGACTCCGAAATCCGAAGCCAGGGAACAACTCTCTCCATTTAGGGTCCTGAACCTCTAAGAAACCGACACCCTCAACCTCTCAACCCTACAGCTCTTAAAACCTAAGTAAGGGGGGCTATAGTCCCAGTACCCCAAGATTTATATTTATATAAGGAACCCTAGAAGCACAATAACAGTACAAAACAAAAAAAGTAAGGGGGCTACAGCTGAACAAAAAAAACCTAAGGAGGAACTATAAGTCAAAGGCCCAGTACCCCAATATTTTTCAGAAGCCCTACATACACTCGCCAAGAACAGTCTCAAGCAACAAAACCCAAGGGGGCTAACCCTAAACCCTAAACCCTAAACCCTATGGTAACCTTCTGCAAGTCTCGCGCCCGGGGCTGCTCCAATGGGCAGCCACCTCGGCCAATGAGTTCTCCGAAGCACTGGGGGTCTCCAGGATGAAAGCAGCTTGGGGTTTAGGGTTTAGGGTTTAGGGTTCTAGGGTTCTAGGGTTCTAGTGTTCTAGTGTTCTAGGGTTCTAGGGTTCTAGGGTTCTAGGGTTTAGGGTTTAGGGTTTAGGGTTTAGGGCATCAGACTGTAGGGTTTATTGCAGTTTAGGCGTTTAGGAGTTTAAGGGTTTAAGGGTTTTGAGGGTTTAAGGGTTTAAGGATTTCAGGGTTCAAGGGTTTAAGTTTCAGGGTTTACGGGTTTAGAGTGCTTTAAGGTTTAGGGTTCAGCCCTAAACCCTCAGAGCCCTAAAACTTTAAAGCCCTCGATGACCCAGCGACCACACAGCTCTTTTCGACTCGCGGCTCTGTGAACAAAGAGACCGAAAATCCAAGGGGGGGGAGGGGGGCCTCTTCTTCTGGAGACATCGCGATTCAGCGTATTGGGGTCCCAGGTCACATCCTTAGGGGTTTCAGGTGAGGGAAACAAAAAGTAAGCCCATGATAGAAAGAGCAACAAAGAGCGCGGAAGATTCCCTGCTAATGACAGGACCAATCGTGTCATTGCAGCTGTCCGATGCCCTGGACAGGCCGCAAAATCTGGGAGTGAAAGGTGAGAGCCATCTCAGCGATACTCCCGATGGCCTGTTTCGGGGCTTCAGGGTTCAGGGTTCAGGGAAATTTGCAGATTTCGGGATACCCTGAGCTTGGACGGCAATCCACATCTGCACCGCTCGGGAAGAATGTATGCGCAAGACTTAGTGGCTCTTGGCAAGGAATTTGGGACTTACTTGTAGGTCCCTTGAAAGCATCTTACATGACTTAATTCGGAGGACTGAAGGCGTGTCGGCACCTGATTCCTGAATTCCCTACAAGTAGTAAGAACCACCAGGCAAACCCTTCACCCTAATTAAGCCCTAAGCCCCTACAACCCTTAATGCGAACTTCTCGGCTACCTATGTACGCTTACACATTGGTACTTCTGTGTATGTATATGCACGCGTATGCGCGCAGCGGTGTAAGCGTACCTGGTTTCTGCTACTTTTCTTGGGGGGGGCGGGGTGGGGGGTGGGTGGGGGGGGGGGATAAGAACGTCATTCATAGTGTATGCATGCCCAAAACACTGGCAGCTACAGCGTTTTCGCCTCTTTGTACAACATACTGCACAAGGATGTGGAAGAAGAAAATCTGTCACAAGCGTCCAGCCTTTCGCGACCATGCCCAACACAAAAACCGTCAAAGTCCTGAAATTTGGCAAATGCGTTTTCGGAAATGCAAGCCTCCAAAAAACACAGCTGCAGAGGCTGTCTTGGCAGAAATGCATGAAAACATCGCAAATTGCAGTGTTTGCCACGCGTGCACACAGCAAAGCTGTGAGACTCGCGTCACGACTGCACACACAGCAAAGGAAAAGTCCCAGAGCGCTCAACAAAACGACCCGAAAATCTTGCAAAAACCCAACATTTCGCAAAAACGACTTACGAAATCACGCCTTTCTAAAACCTCCCAAAATAGGCCTGTCGCCTAGGCGAAACGCTAACTTTCACCAAAAGTAGGGTACGGTTTCCACGGCGGCGGGATATGTATGTATATACATATGTATATATGCATAGTATATATTCAGGTATGACACGCAAATATATATGTGTATATATCTGTATATGCAGAGCTACTGAGATCCTTCCCGCCTGACGCCAGCCAGGAGCTCCCCGAGAGGCTTCGCGCGAGGCCAGGCTGCCCTATCACCACGTCAGGGGCTTTCAGGCTTTTTAGGGTTTTTAGGGTTTTCAGGGTTTTGGGGTTTTAGGGTTTTCAGGGTTTAGGGTTTAGGGTTATGTAGGCATTTGAGTTGTAGGGTTTGGGGTTTCAGGATCTTAGGGTGTTGGGGGCTGAAGGGTTTAGGGTTTAGGGCTTGCACTCCCCCAAAGTACGCGCAATCATAGCTCAGAACACACAGCAATCTTGGCCAAGGTTAGGGTTTACGGTTTATGGTTTAGGGTTTATAAGGGTTTAGTATAGGGAGCGGAGTAGCGTCTAGGGCGTCGATCGAAAAAATCGATGTTTGCAAGCTCGGTGCCCTTGTCAACCACAAGACCGTGACCACAGCATCCTAAACCTCCCACCCAGCTGAAGAACCCCCCCCCAAAATAGCAAACATATCCCTAGATTGCCCTTGTGAAGCAAGAACATCTGTACATTTTTGAGGGTTCTTAAGCAATTCGTAGCCTCATAGACAACCATCATGCACCGTAAGGAAGAGTCATTTGCAACGTTGGGGGGAGGAGATGAGACGCTTGTTGCTTGGGCATGGGCTCCAGACGGCGTGAGGCCAGATATGTACACAGGCTGCGAGTGGTTTAGGGTTTAGGGTTTAGAGTTTGGGGTTTAGGGTTTTGGGTTCTTGGGGTTTTGGGCTACATGAAAGTTCATGGCTTTCATGGGTAGTTAGAGAAGTAGGGTTTTACGTACCCTTAATAAGGCTCTAACCAGTTATGAAACTAGTTGCCCTACTTCTCACCCTGCGTAGAACTACCCATGAACCTCTAAGTATATGCCCAAACCCCTAAACCCTAATCCCTAAACCCTCCACACACAGAGCGCAACTCAAAGCCCTTGCGCAGCCTGCGTTGGTACAGCAACCATCCAAAAAAGAAGCAATGGGCGCTCCTGCATGGAGTTGTGACGCCAAAGCTCATGCACGGTATTGAGCTGTGCTGCCCCGGCTTCGCAGTACATCAGGCTCACCTTTGCAAAAGCGAAAGAGATGGAAACCCAAGAACGTGGAGCCTTACGCTACCGGGGGGGCGACGCGAAACTGCTCTCGTCGGACTAGCGCAAGGGCTGGGGAGGGGGAGAAGCTCAATGACAACGATGCAAGGGGGGGTTGTCGCAGTAGCTACCGGCCCAGGAGTTTGGAGGAGGCGGACTATGCGTGAGTGCATTTCACCGTATTCGGCATCCCCACATGCTGCACATCATGGTGTCTCAGAATGCTGAGGTTTGAAAAATCTTTGCATGATTCAAACGTGTAAGTTTAGATTGCAGCAGCATTTCGTGCGGTTCGACAGTTTCAGATGCTGCGCTGTGTCATTCGCGGTGCGCCGGCCTTCCCGCAGCTCCGAGTAGGCAGAACTACAAAATGTCAGTTTGCTGAACAGCTCCCCACACTGTTGCAGGCCCCCTTCGATGCAGAACATTACTGCCCAACCAAACCCTGAAACCCTGAAAACTGCGCCCTAGACCCCTCCTGACACCCTTGGCCCCAAAGCCTGAAAAAACAAAGTCTGGAAGCCCAAAATACCACACCCTAAACCCTAAACCCTAAACTCAAAACCCTAAAACCTAAACCCCAATCCCTAACCCTAAATCCTAAACCCTGAGGCGAGCCGTGGAGCGAGTCTGGATTGGCCAGTCGTATCAGCCGCCAGCTTCTCCTTGAGGCCCTTCGTGTAAAGAGCCACGAAGTCAGGGACCTCTTGACCAGTAGGGTTTAGGGCTTAGGGCTTAGGGCTCAGGGCTTAGGGCTTCGGGCTTAGGGGACGAAAAGTCTTCTGTCTCCGCGACAAGTTACTTGACAAAATTACATGAGATGACCATCATGCTGAATTTTATTCATCGGCACCTAAACCCTAAAACCTAAACCCTGAACCCTAAACCCTCAACCCTAAACCCCCTCCCCGAACCCTGAACCCTGAACCCATCCAACTCTCGGTCAAGGGATGTCTGGCTTATGGGGTTCAAGCTTCGGGGTGCAGGAGACCTAGGATGTCCCTTAAAACCCTCTGAACAAATTTCCAGAATATTATACATATATATGTACATGTATATGTATGTGTATGTGTGTATATATATATATATATATGTGTAGATATATATATATATACATACATAATTGTCCAAAGGGGGCTCCTAGAAGACGAATGTAACAGCTAGGGGGCGACACTTGCTTTTTGCACACGGCTTCCCAGAGCCAGAGGTTTAAGGTCTAGGGCTTTTTAGGGCTTAGGGCAAGGGACCTCGAGAGCATTTGTCGGGATACAAATTCTCAGTGCTGGGGTTAGGAGTGTGTCTTCAATGCCCAGGTGTATACACCACATCCTTATCAATCGCCTGCACGATATATGCCCGGCCCCACTGCTTAATGTTAACCTCACATCTATAAATGGGGTGGCAACTGTAATATTCGCCGGGCCAGAGGGGCTCAGCCGAAGACTACTTTCCATTACGGGAGGTTTTCGGGCCGATCTGTGTAAAAAAGTCCATATAGGGGGGTCCGGTGAAAATAATACTGGGGTGACAACAGTAATATTTGGCCGGCCAGGAATCCGAAATTTTACTTGCAGAGAATACTTTTCGAGCTCCGAGGCTCTAGAGAAGCAGATCTCGTTTGAGATTGCTTGTCTTGCGAGATTGCTGCAGCTGCAGAACTGCGAGAAACTGCTGCTTCAGGCCTGTTTCTTCAGAGAAGCAGGTGCCTCTTGAGATTGCTGCAGCTCCAGAGCTGCGAGAAACTGCTGCTTCAGGCCTCTTTCTTCAGAGGAGCAGGTGTTCCTCTAAGGCTTCAGATAAGAGTCCCTGAAGCTGAAGACTTCAGCCTTCGGATCTTGGAATTCAGGAAACCGCCAGAGGTCTGAAAGCAAGGTTTCTTTACTAAAATCCTTATCCGCCGGGGCTCGAAAACAAGTCCGGAAAGGGTGCCCCTTATGGGCCTCCAAAATGACAATAGTAAATGGGTGGCAATAATATTTTCGGCGAGGGGGGGGGGGGAACCAAGGAAGCCTCAAGTTTAAATGGCTGCCTTTAAGTCCCAAGACAAGAACCCTTAAGCTCAAGACTTCAGGCTTCGGGTCCTGGTCCAAGTCTCAAGGCAAGAATCCCTGAAGCTTAAGACTTCAGCCTTCGGGTCCTGGAATTCAGGAAGCCGCCAGAGATCTCAAAGCCAGGTTTCCTTACTTAAAACCTGTAGACCCCCAGACCGCAGACCCCAGACCCCAGAATCCTCATTATTGACACCCTCTCTTTTTTTTGACCCGTCCAAACCCCGGGGACCAAAACAAGATTTGGGGGGGGGGTGGGGGGGGGTTATTAAAGCGACGTTAACATTAGATCCCATCAGGCCAAGCAACTGTGGTGTAGCCCAGTTTTAGCCTTGGCAGCATCGAAATTAGGGTGTAGGGCTTGGAGGTTGCGCGCCATGTCATGTCGGTCTAGCCGCCTAGCCATGCCTAGCGCTGGAAAGCCGAACATCCTCTTGCATTGTAGGTGCCCTCACACCTTCCTGGTCACCAGCCACCCCCGAACTAGGATCTTTTGGTCAATGGGGTTGAAAACATTGAGGTTTTAACCCTACAAGGGCACTGCTGGGCGAAAGAGGACAACACGAAAACGGCAACAGGAGATCGTAAGTTGCCAAGGCCTGAAGAGACGGGTACTTTCGGGTCGATACTGCTGCGAAGAGATTAAGGATCGGGCAGGGATCGGACCTCCATCCGGGGTGCTGTTCTGGGCTTTTTGTTCGGGATTTGGAAGGTCTAGTCTGGGGTCTATGATCAGCGCTGCAGGGCAGGGTGAAGACAGGATCCGATTCAGGACCTGTTCGGGTTAAGGGCCTCAACTTCAAAAACCTGGATGCCGAAAAGACTGGGTGGCTGGTACGTCCGCAGCTCGTAGGCAGGCCGGTCACCTTCGTGCCAACGGGGCATAGGGAACAAGAGCTAAATCACTCCACGCCATCAAAACCAAATCCACCCCCTAAACCCCAGCTGGAGGTTTCCGAAATTAGGAGGTACCTGATTCGGGTCCTTGTTATGAGGGAATCCTACAATCTGGAGGTCTACACTAGGGGTCCCTTGCTTTCGCAAACTCCCAGATGAACCCCCCGCAGCCGTGAAGACGTTGAAGCCTAAACCCCTGGACCTGGTGCATTGTTGTACCTTCTTTTCTCTCGGCAGCATTCTAACACCAAACGCCCTCTTGAATTGACTTCCCTGCAATCGACAAAGGATTCGAGGCCTATTGTGTTCACTGGTCTGTTGGCGCCTTTCCTCTCTTTCACAACGATACAGATGAACAACTGGGAAGTGAAGGAGACAAACAATAAAGACCTGAGTTATTGTCTCAAGGTCAGAGAGGGGATCTCAAGTCTCTCAACTTAAGGTTAATGGCTTGCCGAGAGCTTTAAAAAAAAACGAGACCCTATACTAAACACCTCAACCCCGAAGCCCGAACCTTTGACTCCTGAACCTTAAAGCCCAACACCTTGTCAGCCCCCAAGGCATTCAACCCCCGCCCGCCTCCTGCCACCGGCGCGGAAGCGTCGAGAAGGCTTTCGCTGAGCCCGGCCTGAAGGGTCCAGGTTTCGGCTTAGGGTAAGGGTTTAGGGGGGTTCGGTGGGCTTCGGGTTCATTTAGGGCTTGGAGTCTTGAAGCATTAAGGCTTACGCAGTAGCATATTGGACACTTGCCAGCCCCTGAAGGGTGTTCATTCGCACGCCTCTCGGTGGCCGTTTGAAATCAACGTAAAAGAGGTTATAACTAGTCATAGTTGTAGGTACCCTAATTACTTATGACCCCACTTATAACTACTCATGAACCATCCTGAGGGTTCGTAGGCTCAAGATCCACCACACACCAGCCCGCCACACATGCATCCAATTCGAGCAAGGCGTCTTGCTCCAGCGCAGCAGTTGCCTCAGCGAAGATGCCTCACTGAACAACCACTGGCTAACGCTGTAGTTCAGACTTGAGGGATTGACCTGCTGGAGGAGGGAAATCAACTTTGAACTTCCCTGTAACTCTCAAGCCCGATCTGGGACCGGCAAGATACACATTTTCCGACGGCGTGCCATATCTTCTCTCGCACGATCTGGGCTCAAAGGGGGTTAAGGCTTGAGACTGCGCAGCTGGGCGTGGGAAGTGTG